GATCCAACAGTCCCTGAGATCAGGAAGTCTCTCCACAGATAAACTGTCTCCTGCTCAGTGGTCAGCTCTGGTCTTCATCTTACTGTCATCAGAAGAACATCTGGACGTGTTTGACCTGAAGAAATACTCTGCTTCAGAGGAGGCTCTTCTGAGGCTGCTGCCAGTGGTCAAAGCCTCCAACAAAGCTTTGTAGGTGGTCTGATTATTACACTTATTAAAATACGTTTAAAATTTAGGGTGATGAACAAGAAACTTATTTTTTTTTTTAAATCTTCTTCAGGTTGAGCAGCTGTAACCTCTCAGAGAGAAGCTGTGAAGCTCTGTCCTCAGTTCTCAGCTCTCAGTCCTCTAATCTGAGAGATCTGGACCTGAGTAACAACAACCTGCAGGATTCAGGAGTGAAGCTGCTTTCTGCTGGACTGAAGAGTCCACACTGTGAACTGGAAACTCTCAGGTTGGGATACGAATAGGTCTTTATCAGTTAAATTCTGCTTTATGTTAATGTTGGTGCAGATGTTCAACATCTGTAAGATTTTTCTTTGTGCTATTAAGTTGATAATATTTTTGTGACTCCAGTCTGTCAGGTTGTCTCGTCACAAAAGAAGGTTGTGGTTCTCTGGTCTCAGCTCTGAGCTCCAATCCGTCCCATCTGAGAGAGCTGGACCTGAGCTACAATCATGCAGGAGACTCAGGAGTGAAGCTGCTTTCCACTGCGGCAGCAGATCTAAAGTGGAGGCAGGACAGTGTCAGGTATGGACAGCCAACAGGAGCTCATACGGTGAACGTTTGTCTAATGTCTTTTGTTGTGGATCTTGTTGCTCAGGTCCATAAGGGACAGCTCGCCTTTACTCGGTGGTATTTGTCTGTGAAGCTGTCTATCTATATTTGTCTAAAAATATGTCGCTCAGCTTTGATGCTCACTTTGACTGGTGGAGAGTAGGTTGCTGAAGGGTCACCTTGCACTAAAACCCCATGAAGCTCCTTAGCTGTGGCATATACCAGCGCTTGCCAGGTGCAGGTCTTTGCAGTGGCTGTGATTAGTGGCTCAAGGTTGGTAATGCAAATTCAGTTGGTGTCTCACTGAATCTACATATCGCCATGCTTTTAAGTCTGTGAGATCTTTAATTTCAGTGATCCTGGCGTAAACAAAGAATTCAAAGTGGCAGAATATGGACTGAAGCCAGTTGAGGACGGTGGTTGAATCAGACCAAAGGATGATTTCCACTCCATTTCAGTCGGAAGTAGCTTCATCAGCTGGGCCCAAGTCAGCGCTGCACACAATTCTAATTGTGGAACAAACTGCTGTTTCTTTGAGGCCAAACATGATCTGACCATGAAGAAAGATAGATGTACATTTTGATTGTGGTTCACTGAGCACAAATAGGCTACAGAGCCATGGGCTCGTTCTGAAGTATCCCAAAAGATGTAGATCGGTCGTACCACATCTGGTCAGTCCATGTTCCAGGCTGTATAGCATCTAGGCACATGTTTCTGCGGTACGTGTTCCAGTGACCACTCCCAGGTCATCGATGGTTGTAGCAGGTGGTCTTGTAACTTTAGGTCATCCCAATCGCTGTACTTGTCCCACAGCTGTTAGATGATGACCTGGGCTCTGGCAATAAAGAGGCGGATAAACCCAAATGGATCATACTGCCAGAATTAACTGTATATTCCTCATTGTTTGCATGGCTAGTAGGGCAATGCTTAAATTAATGGATGTCCGTGTTCCAGCTCAGTCCCGGTATTGACTCATGCCGCCATTTTGTTATGCAACGGCCAAAGCTCCAGTTGGTCTCAGCGTGCCTCTGGTGGTAGATGGCTAAGGACCTCTGGCCTGTTGGTAGCCCATTGGTAGCTCTAAAAACCCATTACTACATATTTCCAGAAGACACATAATACATTTATGAAAGAACCAAAATCCACGATTGTTTTTTGTGACAAAGACGTGCACCTTCAATGATAGAATGGAAAATCGAAAACAATCAGACAGATGTCACACTGACAAACTACTGGACTCTGCTTCATGTTAAACAGCAGTTAGGACTCATGATAGTGAATCATTCTGACTGTTGTTTCTTCATGCAGGGTGGACCATGGTGGAGAGCAGTGGTTAAAACCTGGCCTGAGGAAGTGTAAGTTTGGCTAATGATGAGAAAAGCTGTCATTTTGTGTTTAAACAGATAATTTATGGTCGTGATGTTATTTATTCAAATATTATTTAACAGTGATGGCTGACAAAAAGCATCACCATTAAACTTAATGTTGATTTACCTTATATCCAGCAGTAAAGACAGAATAAAGTTATCAGAGGTGTCAGATGATAAACTGCAGCTCTTATTTATTTTTTCTCAGACTTCTGTGAACTTGAACTGGACACGAACACAGTGAACAGATTTCTCCAACTGTCGGACAACAACAGGAGGGTGTCGTATGTGAAGGAGGAGCAGCCGTATCCTGATCATCCAGACAGGTTTGACTGCAGGGTTCAGCTGCTGTGTGGAAATGGTCTGACTGGTCGCTGTTACTGGGAGGTCGAGTGGAGAGGAGGGGTTTATATATCGATGACGTACAGAGGAATCAGAAGGAAAGGAAACAACGATAACTGCATGTTTGGCTGGAATGATCAGTCCTGGAGTCTGAACTGCTCTGATGATGATGGTTTCTCTCTCTGGTACAACAACATAAGAACATCCATCTCCTCCTCCTTTTCCCCCTCCTCTGTCTCTAAGAAAGTAGCAGTGTATGTGGACCATCCTGCTGGCATTCTGTCCTTCTACAAACTGTCCTCTGACTCTCTGATCCACCTCCACACCTTCAACACCACATTCACTGAACCTCTGTATCCTGGATTTGGGTTCAGGTCTGGGTTTTCAGGGTGGTCAGGTTCCTCAGTGTCTCTGTGTTCTCTGTAGGAAGGAGACTGGAAGTGACAGCAGCTTCAACTCTGTTGTTCAGATGTTGGTAGTGGAGGATATTTCACTTTAGTTTACCTTTTAATCACTGATTGTGATTCAAGAGTAGCTTTCACAGCTATTTGGTAGGGAACGATTCTGGACCACTTGGAGCAGACACCGAACAAAAACTTAAGTTCATATGAAACACTTCCTTCTTGCATTTGATAACAAACTAGATCAATGTTTAGAGACAAAAGACAATTCAATAGACAGTTTGAAACAACAGGAGATGGCTTGTTCCTCTTAAACAAACAATAGGAGCCTCCATAGAACTCTTCAGTGTTCTCCACTGTGACCTGCACCTCACCTCCTAACCCTCTCCTCCCAACACAGAGATGTGTACACTGGAATGAACTGCACAGTTAAATACGAAGTGTGTCAGAAAAGTTCCAGGACTGGTGTCACAAAAGATATATTTCAAACCCAAACTACAAACTACCAGTTTTCTCCTTCAGATGATGAACCAGCACGTCTACAAAGAGATCCTGCAGCGTTTGCTTTGTTCAGTGCGCCAGAAGAGGTGAGAGTTGTGGCAGGACCAGTGGAGGCTGCTTCACCATGACAACCTGCTCACAACGCCCTGAGCATCCCACAGTTCCTGGCTGAGAAGAACATCTCCGTGCTGGAGCAACCTCCCTCCTCACCCCACCTGGCTCTGTGGGATTGTTTCCTCTTCCCCAAGCTCAAGGGGGTCATCAAGGAGACCCGTTTAGAAGACGTGGACGACATCAAGATGGCTGTGACGACAGAGCTGAGAGGATCCTGGAAGAATCCTTCCAGGAGTGCATGGCGGCGTGAAGAGAAGGCTGAGGAAGGGTGTTCGACTCCAGGGGGATTACTTGGAAGAGGAAAACTTGCAGTTTGGATTTGAAATACATCTTTTGTGACACCAATCCTGAAACTTTTCTGACACACCTCGTATAACGCTAAGGAGATCTACCATCACCAGAATGAGGAACCAGAATCTGAAGTATTAAACAAACATTTAACTTCTGAATGTATAAAAGATGAACACACACACACCCACAGGAGATACATAAACCCTTCACTCTGCTCCTTTTGTTGTCAGACAGACACCTTTTCTCTGAAGCATACACGCTCCAGAAGTTGTATTTTTATTATTATTATTAAAAGTTACAAGCATTTTTATCTACATCACACAATTTATATTCATGTTAGAGTCACTTATTTATATTTCACTAATGGTTCGAGACAAACATGTTTGATCTTATTTTTATCAACAGGGCATCAGAACCCCAGATCTTTGTTCATTGTATGTTTAAGAGCCAGATATGTGCAGTCAAACCGGTTTTCTATGTCTTTGTATGTCTAGTCATGGTGTTGCTTTATCACTGTCATATTATTGTTTAAGAAGCAGTAGTTCATACATATTTAATGGTTTAATACGATCTGTGCTGCCATGTATTTCTTTATTTGGGAACTGAGGTCACTGAAATTAGAATTCACTTCTAATTGTTGTCGTATAGGAGCATATCTTCAGATTTAGTAGTTTTTACCATATTGAGGAAATGTCTTCATAAAATTTTAAACAAGAAAGATTTATATCATGACCCCATATTTGTCTTTACCATAATTTTTTATTTTTTTAAAAAAAGAATCTTGGGCGCCGCCGTAGCTCACGTGGTTGAGCTGGTGTCCCATGTACAGGGGCTGAAGTCCCCGATGCAGTGGTTGTAAGGTCAAGTCCGGCTCATGACACTTTGCTGCAGGTCCTTCCCCCATTCTTCTCCCCCACTTTCCTGTCTCTCTCTTCACTGTACAATCCAATAAAGGCACGAAAGGCCAAAAAAAAAAAAACTAAAAGGAAAGTTACCTGCTTTTATGGTTCAGGTTAGAAGAATCCATTAGAATATTCAGCAAGTGAGAGTTTAAATATGAAATAACTACATTTAACTATGCATAGTTTACTTAGATTTGATTTCATGCTGGTGATATAAGATGGCTATTTGAACATCTGGATTACCAACAGTTGAATAAAACATGCACCTCAGCCAAGTTGATCAAAGCAGTTTAACCAGTTCTGACATTCGCTGTTCATCACGTGAACTCAGATTACAAACAAACTACTTTGGATTTACGTGTTGATCACTAACCGTGGATTCGTTCTAACGCAACAGTTTCATTTAACTATCTCAACAGTATGCATTTGTGAACACGCCACATTTTAAAACAGTCAAACACACAAACATTCGTACTGAGTCAGTGATACAACTCAGAGTGATCCTGTAGATCAGACATGTACAGATTTCTCAGGTAGGATTCTCACCTGCTCAACTCACTTCAGATCAACTTACAGACACTTTCCACCTCCATGTGTCGAGGAAACGTTTGGGTGATAAGACGCTGCTCACTCTCCCTCGTCAGTCCTGCCGTCTGTGTTTGTCTGTGTGATCTGAGGACACGGTCACATCCGCATAAATCTAAGAAAAAACATCAGAGAGACGTCAGAACCAGTCTGACCTGTGGCACAAACCCAGGTGGGGTTCTACTGTTGGTTCACTAGATGGAGCTAACTGACCATTTAATAATTTAATCAGGTGAGCATCAAGTCATTGAGTTTTTTTTTTTTTTAATGATGTGAGAACATCATATAAGATTAGATATTTACAGTCGTCCTCAAATGTATTCAGACCCTTCCATTAAAGAAAAGGCACAATTCACAAGAGTCACTCAAATAACTAGAAACTGAAAAAAGTAATCATACATAAAAATTTGCTAAATTATAATTCAGTGAAATAAGACATTGGTTTGAAAAAAAAAACAAAACAAACAAAAAAACCAATTGCGGGCTGTGTTTTACTGTCTTTTCTGGGGAGCGTGTGACATTTTGCGATATGATGACTCTGAATATCCACACTCTTAACTTGGAGGAATCTTATCACTTGCTGTTCAGGCGTGTGCAGCTCCTCTGCCGGGGCATCCTCACCATCTTCACCTCCACCTGCTGTAGCTCTGGTGTCGGTTCGGCTTTGTGTCTCCAGTCAACTCATCCATTCTTGTGTATTGTTCAAGGTCCTTGATTCGCTGTTCCAAGCTGTCTGTTTTCTTCTCCTTCTCCTTTATCAAGTGTTCTAGTTGTTTCATCTCATCCATTAGGTCATGTAGCATGCCTTGTTTTTTAGCCCCTTTGCTAAGTACATGAAGTTAAGCGATTTCCTGATCTCCTCCAACTTCTCCTCAACTCCT